TCCCTCCCCGTCCATTGTTAAACTTTAGCCTCTTATGTCAGTGCCCTTGCTCACCCCTCTTTCATTGCTCCTCCTCCGAGAATTCAGCTCGTTACCTCCCTTTCTTTTCGTTGCTATAGCAATTCCATACTTCACCTAATCTCGTTTTAGTACGTTCCCTTTTTCACTTATTATTTTCCTTGATTTTAACAGTATAATTATTTTTTTTTTTGTCCTCCCCACCGTCTGTTATGAATTTTTTACTCGTTTACGTCGCAATTGCTTCCTTTTTATCCTTCATATTTTGAAAATTTCGCAGGACTTTCGGGATTGTCGACTACACCATTGAAGAGCTTTATAAATATAAATTTGTAGCGATTTAAGTATGTAGTCCGTAATTGACGAGTATGACGCAGTGGCAAGTAGCACTACACACATGCCGAAGAAAGAGGGTTCGACTCCCCCAGTGATAAAACTAACCCCTTTATGGTCCATTCTTTCGTTTTGGCACTGAACTGGTGCTAGTACATATCAGGAGAGTCTAAAATACTATCATCAGCTGTCTTACGAATAACTCTTGAAGGAAGCGATTAGGAACCTTACTTGATAGTAGTCTAATTTCTGTATAATTTTCTCCGTCTTTGGCTATGAAATATTATTGACTATTATATGCTTTCTTCAAAGGCGTTACCTCTTGAGCCTCATTTTTTTGAGATCTAGAATGAGGAAAACAAGGAGGGGAAGAGCGATTCTCTTTTACGTCCCACATTCGTTGAATTTCAGTACCAGGCTGCATAGTACTGGTACTGCGCCGTCAAAAACACGCTTAGTATCCACTGGTCATCCGATGAATGATTTTTGTAGGTGCTATGCCCCCAGATGGCAATCAGACATCGGCACAAATTATATCAGAAATTCGGAAACGTCAAACGGTTTGCATTTGTACTGGAAATATACAGAGACACCAGGAGTTGTTTCGACGAATGTTCAAAAATTCAGCGGAGGAGTTGCTCGCCGCGATCACCTATCAACTTGATGGACCGAATGGACCGGAACTGGAAATGATGTATGACTTTTGCTAAACATTTTCTCCGAAATTTACAGCTTTCTTTTTCAACAGAGCCAGTATTTTCGTGAATGAAACTTTTTTTTGCAAATGAGTGTGAGCCTGGAAGGAATTGATCCACTCACATCCACTTTTCCCAAATCCTTCGAATCATGATGTGTTATCCATTATATTACCGGTGCAGTAGCTGTGTATAGCGCAACAGCTGGAGCACTCATATCTGAATGTATGACATTTCCATACTCTTTAACAATTCTTCTTGGCTTTTCGTGGTATATCTGTGATGGATATTTTTAGTTATAGATTTCATGGATATGTAGTTACATGACTTCATGGATCTCGAACTTGAGGCTCGAGCTCAAGGCAGTCACACTTTTAAAGGGAGGAAGAAGAGGGATTGAGAACAGAATGCACGCAAAGTAGTCTTTAAAATGCTTTGAGTCTGACAGCTATACGGG